TATTTTTCATTTCTTTCTCCTCTCATTTCTTCTCTCTTCCTTCCTCTTTTCTCTTCTCTTTTCCCCACCTTCCAGGACGGGGTCACATCTCCTGCGCCCTCTTTCTTGACTGTGTCTTCTGAGCACTCCGATCAAGACGGGTGAAAATAAATACAGTATGTGTTTGAATGCAACTCGGACGATTGACTAATGATTCTGGATGCAACGTTATTAATTGGAAACTTTATCATAATTCAAGAAGGTTGATATTTATGAGTTGATAACATCGTTTTGGAGAAGTGGAATTTATTTTATTGAATATTTTATTGAATAATTTATTTTATCAGTTTTGATGTTGTCTCATTGGCAATGTAGCTACATTTAAATGGTAGTATTATTTAGTAATAAAATGGTGTTTGATAACAGTTGTATGATCGTACGAATAATTGCCTCTTCAATATATAAGAACAAATGAATCTAGCTTCATATCATTCGTGTTGTCATCAACCGCAAAGATAACTGCATCACTTATCAATATTTTATGTCATTCTCTCTACCCTACGACTACTTTTTATTAGCATATGATATTTTGATCTTTTATAAGCACATGTTAGAATTCTCACGTTCACATTAGATCGTGATCGTTTGAATTTTATTGTTGATTGGTCAATAGCGAAAGGTGGTTTATAAAGTGCATTTTTGATCAGCAGTTTATCTTATTTTGTAGTTATCATCTTCTGTTGAATAAGACGAGCGTTCCTTTTGTGCAACTTTAAGGGTGTCTTTTCGAAGCTGATACAATTATTGCAAACTTCTTTCGGTGCAGTTTTTGAGCATTTGAATAATTATTTTCAAAATGATACCAATAACTTGATCACTTTGAAAATGAATCGTTTCAAATGAAAATTTGAATGATCTTTCAATAGGGGTTCTATGAAGGTATACAATCAATTTTTTATCTTTATAGTGAAAATGATGAAATTAGTCGACCTTCCGCAGATTTTTTTCCAACTTAATAAATGATTATAATTTTCGGTATTTTTGCACTATTGATTGTTTCCGATCGTTTGATCACAATGAAAAGTCAGTTTACAACTTTCTCGAGTTGAGATTGTCTCTCTTACTGAACGTAGGCCCGATTTAGGCCTTTTTACATAATTCAACGTCGTGTGAGTAGTAGATACGGATTTGAAGAAAAATGTGACAGTTTCCAATGAAACTTTCATTGCGGACGAAGGTGTCGTTAATTTTTTCTGGATTTATAATCTTCTGATTCATTTTATACCATACTTGAGTTCGTTGTTGATTGTTGAATTCTTTGCTTGACATCCAATTGAATGTGTGTACAAATTCTGTTTGATAAAATTTTGTTGACAACTATTAAACTGTTTGACTATTAAGACTACTTAACTATTAGCTATGAATCACACTTAACAACTGACTGCACTTGAAATAACATATTGAAATGATAGCACATTGGGATTCATTAGCATTGATTAGGCATGTCGCGATAAGTGGCGATGAATGACATTTCGGCCAAAGCTGTGCACCGAGCATGAAGTATTTGTGAAACATGTGGATGGTTGTGTCGCACAAGTTGAACTGTCTATTAAACTACTAGGTGGTTCTCCGATGTGAGTCTCAACCTAATCCCAAATATAAGTTGTTTCCCAACTGAAGCATGACTATGACTATTATATTATGACACAAGCGACCAAAAAATGAACATCTTTGGAATCATCTTCATATCACACTTGACATGTTGATTGCTGAATTCTTTGCTCGAAATTCAGTTGAACATGTGTGCAACTTCTATCTCATAAAATTTTAATGCTTAATTTTTGACTAATTTTGATTATTTTTATTTGACTAGTAAATTATTTGAATCTTGGAGTATTTGACTGGTAACTATGATTGATTAAACTATGATTGATATTGATCAACAATGCAAAAACGATCAGAATAACAAAGATATGTTCGATTAAGTTTGTCTCATCGCAAAATGAAATTTGAAAGGGCGTTGTGTTTAGAATGCATCAGTCTCTAGAATATGAATAGCATTCACTGATGAAATTGTCCTAAGACTATTACCGAAAACGCAACAATATCGAAGTAATACTGTAGGTGGGAATGAAGCTGAATCACGCAAACGTTTCTACTCTAAAAATGGAATTGGTGTGATTTATTGATGGGAAAATACAGATGTGTACGGATATTCGTTGGAACATATCCCCTTTCATAACATACCATTCTTCCTTTCAACTCCGTTCGTTTTCACAGGACGGATTATTCGACTCTTTGAATGCGCTTTTTCCTGCGACAGAAGGTGGAACATGCAATTAATATTACGAGCGTCTTGAATTTTCGTCCTTGTTTCGATTCACTACTTTAAAAGCGACATTGCTTACTGCCGGGTAATCAGTAGCGAGCTCGGAGGAACACATTATTAAAACCGCAAGAATGTCACGAATTTATTCGAAAATCGTTTGAGAATGAAGTTCGCTTTAGATCACAATTCCTTTCTGGATACAGTTGGACGATAATCATAACGAGGTACAAAACTTGTTAAAGAACCTGAAAAAATGCAGAGGTAAGTGGGATTATTGCTTCAAAAATGTTCTTTATTCTCCACGAAAGTTTAGTTCAACAGAAAATATTCCGATGCGAGGAAAGCTATATTGTCAGTTTGAAACACATTTGACCTTTAGTTATGAATCGGTGATCTGCGTTCCTCATCGAATGCCTTTTTTNTTTTTTCACTGTATACTTAAAACTGTTTCCATACTGGAAAAGACTGGTCAACTGTTGATTATCATTTAGTGAATCATCCAATAAAGGTCCTATTTATGAGCCAGCACCAGACTATGACAATGAAGAAACTCCCGATGATAATCAGCAGGATGCTTCACATGCTGATGCTACCTCGTTTGACCCAACGTATCAGCAACAAACTGGGAACGCTCCTCAGATAGCACGGCGCAGTTCATCAATCTCCAGTCCTAAACCGCAACGACGTGCCACATATGATACATCTCGGTCTCCATCAACACAACGTCGCGCTCAACCGACCAATACAGTCCCCCAAAGCACACCTCCACCAACATTCTCACCAGCACGTTTGCAATCGACATCATCAAACACAACAAGTCCCCAACAGTCGCCTCAGAATACCATGCAATTGCGATACTCTTCATCTCCTGAGAACCAGTCCCGATTCGACTATTCCAAGGTGGTTGTTCAAGAAGTAAAGCAACGACCACAACATAAGGATATGGCCGAATACATCCGAGCGATTGGTGGTGTACCTGTTTTGCCACCGTTAGTCATGAGCTCTGCGTTGGATGGTGGAAGTAAGTGTCTTATTCCTTTCTATTACCTGTTCCATTCCACGCAGCAAAACACTATCTTTCATTAATTGGCATTCACTTCCCATTCGAAATCTGTTGATCCACCCGCTAGAAGGTATTTTTTGCTACCTTAAAATTGTAGTTAATGTATGTTCAACAATAGGTTATCGTTGTGCTACTTAACTTTTTTGTATTATGTTCCATTTCAAATTGGATAAACTTTGTTTTAGTGTGTTGCGGAAATGGGGGAAAAGTCGGGGACGAAATTTCGCAGTCGGGGACGAATTCCCCGAAATTCTCCGATCCACACAGTACATTAGCATATACTTACCTGCACTAGCGTGTCGCGAGGACGGTTAAAAAATTCCAGGACGGGGAAAGACGGGGACCCCGAAAATGCAGTTGGCTCGAAAAA